GTATTTCTCAGGATATAATTTTTTCAGTCTTGGCTTTACAACCCGTGCGAACTGTGTTTGATTTTTGTCGATGAATATTTTAATGTTATATAATTCAGCCTCTGTGTCTTTGATTTGGTCTTTCAGATATTTTATGTCCTTTATTTTCTGTTGTAAAAAAAATAAATTATGAAACCGTCATGATTGCAAACTGGCCTTATAAAACAACATCAAAATACAACTAATTCGAACAATTAATATACTCAACAAATATTCAGACAGTTATGTTGGTACCAGTATGTAAAGCATACGCATAATTGAAGACCAGAAATGTGTCCGATGTCAATATATAATAAAAAATCTGTCATGTTTAAACTGACCTCTTTCACAAGTTCTGCGTGTTCTCTGTGTCTATCCAGTTTACCACAAATACATGTAGCCGGGGCATTTCTCGTAGCAGCATTCACGTTTACCCTTATTTCCACTTTCTTTATGGCCGATGTGGTGACATAATCTGCATGAAGCGGAGATCGGTCGCAGACCGGGAAGTCCCAAAACAGCTAATGGCGCGGGAATAGATTTCAGATCAGCTAACTCTCTATCCATGACTGCTTTTGATGAAACGAGATGTTCTATTTTTTCCTGTAGAATGTCGCGTCGAGTTTCAATCGTTGGCGAATCTTCGGGTTTAATTTTAATACTTGTGTCAGCACTGGTCTTTTTTTCCTCCACAGAAACATCAGTGTAACTTAATTTGGACCACGTTCTAGTATCACTGCTTGTTGTCGATACAACCATCTCAGCAGTGTTTTTTGTATCAAGCATAGGTGATGATCCATCGAGAATAAAAATCTTTGCTTTCACTGTAGAACCGGTTGTATTTAAACGCATCTTCTCTAGTACAAATTGTCTGAAGCGATCATTTGGAGGCAAGTCCATGCGCTGACCGTCTTCGCCTACAATCTGTAATCTTAGTTCTGTCATTCGACGTAGAAAAGTCGTTTCACGGGTCAACCTGTTCGTAAAATCTTCGTAACTCATTTGATGGAAATCGTCTTCTCTAATAAATACAGGTATTCTTCTAGCTTCGGAGTAGTAAATAAACTCCACTTTAAACAGGTATTCTGCCATATTTTTAGATTGATACTGGCGAAACAAAATGCGTCTTTTAGCACTTACCAGCCACGTGTTCTAGTCGTCTCTTTTTTTATTTGGTGTGGCGACAGTGAAGACTGCTGTCTGGTTTATAATATAAACAACTCTTTGATTTTACCGCAACTTTGATAATATCTGGAGCAACTTGTAAACATTTACTCACAATGTTACAAAACAACTTTAGTAGTGTGTTAACATTTTATACAAAGTCAACGTTCGAGGTTTGGTGGAAACTAATGTAATACATATTGTAACATACAGCCGGAACGCAGCCAAGCGTTTTGACTGTTATTGGACGTGATTATTAGATTTGAGTAGCACCACCAACGGCACAAAATCCTGTTTTTATATAAATGCGGAAGTGATGTGGTAATTTCCCGCGGTATTTTCTTTTTGTGTTATTTTAGAATCTTGGGCAAAAATCATAATTTACAAGTCATTGAAAATGACACAGTCCCCGTTAAATTTTTGAAAGTTCTCTTAATGGCCTGCTACATAATCTTGGCACTAATTCCATGGAAGCATCCAGGAAATATGTCGTTGCTAGTGTTAAAATTGTGTAATCATTTAACACTAAATGTGTGTTAGTTACTATGCAGATTATATGTATATAAATAGGCTTGCATAATAGCTCAGTTACAATGCCCAATTCATTAAATTAATTCCTGTAAATTCAGCTAAACTTTAAAATTCACATTGTACTGATGGTTTGTGATTTCAGTTTTTGATATCATAATTTGTAAAACGTTTGACTTTATGATCAATTTACTGACCGAATTATTATGTTAACATATATGCCATGGCAGAAACATGAACGCATACTACGATTGAGGAATGGGCGTGTTCTGTAAAGTGGAAACAATATATGGTGGTTCTGTTTACAAACGTCGTGTAGGAAAATTTACAAGTACAAGAACACAAAACAAATGACCAAGTACAACACATCATAGTCAAATCAGTAAAAAAGAGGTACATGAACTTCATGATATTTATCAAGTAAAAGTACACTATAGCATGAAATCATGGATCATCGGTAAAAAAATCGAAATCTAGAGTACAAGTAAACAAAGATACATTTTACCATTTTACTCTCGTAGATTTGGAAGTGTCACATTTTTTATATAAGCAGAGCGATTTATAAGGAAATCCCTGAGCTTAAAGTCGTCATATTTGGCTTTCTGACGATATCTTACTTATCGTGCTACACCATCTACATGTGAAGATATAGTATTATGAATAATAAAAACTCGCTCCGATGACCCATTTTTCCCTCACTAACGACGAGGACAAATGATGTGTGGTGATCCTAAAAATACCGCTGGCCCGAATCAAGAGCACAATTTAGCACATAAGAACTAAATTTCATCATTAATGGCAGAAAATTTCAAATTTTCAAAGACTACGGTGTTCAAAATAACAGTTTTGCTGGCCTATCGGAAATACGTAATTTTATAGCCGACATTTAAAATGTGTCACGTGACCTATGTCTAATAAGCGCCCTCTATGACAGTGGGTTGAGTTCCGGCTGCATACACTGTCACATCCAAGCCATGTTAATTTTTGAGAATATGGATGCATAATCGACAGATGTGAATATTTTTAAAGCAATCATGAAAAGTACAATTCATTACCTGTTTATCTGGTACTGATACATAAACTCTTTTTGGAAATCTTCTAAGGACTGCATCATCTAATTCCTGAGGTCTATTTGTTGCACCCATAACAAGCAACCGGTCATCACTATTAGCATGTACCTTTAAATCAATAAACCCAATTATGTTAATAGGCTTTCTAGTGTAAATTCCTGTTTTATTTTCACAACTTGCAATGTAGCACCTCTCAATGTAAAGAACACAGAAAACACCTACCCCATCAAATTCCAATAAAAATTCAGTTTTCAGTCTACGACTTGCTTCATGCTCGCCTTCTCTTCGTTCACAGAGCAAAGAGTCAATTTCATCTGCAAGATAAACAAGACAGCCATCAGAAATGGAAGATCCCCAGGCATCTTTATTAAAAGCACTAGTTATCATGATTCCAATGTCTTCAATAAAGCACTGGTTGAATGTCTATTTGCAATAGTGCTTTAGATATGGAAGTACAGACAGATGGACACTGGTAACCACTATAACCCTTGTCTGCACTACGTGCTGGGGGATAATACCTATTGAATATACACAGATGCAATGGAAGCTATGTAATTATCAAATAATTGTACATTTAATAAACTAGTTATATACCAGCACACTTGACAGGTGAAGAGAAAATTGAATAAATTTCCACCAGTTTATGACATTTAAGTTGATTAAGAAACCCAGCCATATTTTATTTTCTCACATAGAAAAAGTTGGTCACATCAGTTTACTTTCTAAGAGGTTTTACAAGACAATCTTTGTTCTACAATTACCTAGCAGCATCTTAACACACTGGAGGTTGATGTCAACTTTCACCAAATAAATCTACCTACTTTTTTTTAAAAAAATTGATCAAGCCTTGTAGCCAATGAGAAATTATGTCTATTGGTCTAAAAATTACAGTAAAATACATAAAAATTGCAAAAGGTTTTTACCCGAATTGTGACAGGAAAACTGGTCTTCAAATGATTAAACAAAAGTTAACTTTGAGTGCAATTCATGTACAAATATACTACATACCTATAAACACAATGGACGGCTGAAGTTCCCTAGCAACAGCAAACATTGCCCGGACCAATTTTTCTCCTTCACCAACATATTTGGAAGTCAATGTAGAAGCACTGATGTTGAAGAATGTTGCATTAGATTCATGAGCAACTGCCTTGGCCTTAAAAGCAATATAAGTTAGATATTAGAATACAATGTCTGACAGAACCTGATATAGCAGTCCTGTAAGAAATGGTATGTTTGCTGCCAGAATTGCTTTGAAACCTTAACTAAGGGCATTAACAGACAAAATTTAATAAAAGTATTTTCTCCCTGGCTAAAGAACCCTGGTCAAACTTCATAAAATAACTAGAAGTTTTCAAGACAATTTGACTTTCTCAAAATTAAAATGGTTTACTACCAATTGTTGACATATCATAACTTGGTTGTAAGTTAACTACTCCTAACACACTGCATATATAAATCATGTTGCGTTTGCGCTTCCTCCAATGAGATTAGGTAACCAATCAAAGCACCTTACTGCATCAAAGATATTATATCGGTAGTTACTGTGTAAAATTTGACAGTAATTTCCATGCATCAGATGCATTAATATTATGTAAATGGTAAATATCTGACAAAGTGGAATGTCTGATAATGAAGCCGAGATAATGGTGTATTGAAATAAAATATATTATTGAACTCGACTTACTAATAAAGTTTTGCCATTGCCCGGTGGTCCAAATAATAATAACCCTCTTGCTGGAGCTCTCAAACCAGTGAACAATTCAGGTCTTAATGATGGAAGAATTACGATTTCTTGCAAAGCTTGTTTGGCAATGTCTTGACCAGCTGAAACAAATGAAGAAACATCTATAAGACCACAAAGTAACTGAATTCATTAAAAGTTATTTATAGTATAGTTTGTGTTATGTTCAATAGGGTATCCAGTCAAGTCGCAAATGAGCAAAATTAACACCAGTCAATAAACTCGTGTCATCATTTGAAATTTTGTTGAACAATGGAACAAGGGGGGGAAATGCAGATGAAGCTCAGATGACTTACCGATATCATGCCATTTCACCTCAGCTCCACTGTCTACAATTTCATCCAAAATGCGATTTGCCAGTCTTGAATCTACTGTTTTTAAACGTGATACTTTTCTTCTTGTGGCAGCTTTCGTATCAGTTTTCATCGTTTCCACCATACAATCTTTCTTGGATAGTCTACCCTGTTTAGATAAAATTAGGTTCAAGCATATACACTGTTCCAGAAATTAAAATATGCAAATGAATCACTGTCGCAGTGATAAATTGGCCCTATAGCTGGGCATGGTAACTAGTCCATATGCCATTGGAAGAGAAGCCACTTACCTTTGGATTTAGTACTGGTTGTGAACTGTATACTGGATTTTTGGTTCTACTGGTATGTCTGTAGCCAGTTGGACTCTGACTGCGTGGAGTATCTTTTCTAGTGCGGGGTAAACTATAACTCTTGTGGGTTAAACGTGGTGAATTTGGTTTCCCTGTGTAGCCTGAAACATAGATGTAGAGAAAATACATATCATAAACGTATACAGTGTATTTATAACTTAAAAACAACAAATAATTTAGAAAATTAAATATGAATACGATACAGTTGTATTTACTAATTTCCTCTAGCACATTTGAAAAGCAGACTGACTAAAAACAAAATTAGAAAGAAGATATCCTGATATATTTTTAACAGCAACATTTTAGGAATTGTTTTATTTCTATAAAAGTGCAAGCAATAAAATAACCTTCAATTGTGATTGGTAATAAGGTATTTTAGGATATCACAAAATTAGGTATTACAGAACTGAAAATTAACCTTATGCCAAAGAACACAGACTACACATTCTTGTCCTGGGACTCTCGATACTATTTTTCAAATGTGGTAGCCCAAATGGACTACCATGCTAGAAATTTACCGAAAGAAAGTGTGCCAAAAATGAAAGTGTACCTTTAACTTGTTCTAGCTTGTTTTTGTGTGATTGTCAGTGGTGATAAAACACAGAAATGTAGAATTTCTACACAAAAAGTATTTCAGTGGAGTAAAATTATCTTTTAGTGATGAGCAGTATTCTTGGTACAAAGGTATTTAGAATGAGAAAATTGTTTATTTGTTTATGATATTAAAGTGATATTCATTTCAATTTTTATTTTCTACAATGACACCCATGCATAGAATAACATGTAGATGAGCTTTAAAAACTTGAAAGTAGGAATTACCATGCTTAGTCATATAACAATGCTACACTACATTTGGGCAAACATGCAACACCTGGCTCCTAATAGTACATGTATATCTCAATAGTAATACAACAAAGAATAACAATGAATACAAGTAAATGGCTCATCAGGAAGTATCAATAACATCAACAGGATAATGCAAACATACCCTGTTTTGGTACAGTTCCAGTTTGTGAGCCAGGTATGGCAATAGTGACAGTATGATTAGAAGTAGAACTAGTAGGTACTACATCAGATCTAGTTTGAGTAGGTATAAGATTACTAGCACCACTGGGAAGACTAGGAGGTACTACATCTATGTGTACACTATCAAGGACAGTAACTGAAAGCAAATAACACAGGGTGAACATGGGGATCAACACAAAGTTGGTCATGACCAAAATACGAATGAATTTCATTTTATCCCAAGCCTGTTTCATCCCAGTACCATTTCGTCCCAATGCTGTTTTGTCTCAGCATTGTTTCACCCTAATGTTGTTTCGTCTCAATGCTGTTTCATCCCAATGTTGTTTCACGCCAAGGTTGTTTCACCCCAAAGTTGTTTCACCTCAAAGTTGTTTCGTATTGATGCTGTTACGTCCCAGTTTTGTTTAGTTCAACTCTTGTGTCGCCCATTTTTTCCCAATGTTATTACATCCCAGTCTTGTTTCATTTCACTGAAGTTTGGCCCCAGTGACAGTTGTTTCATCCCATTTCCAACTGCTATTTTGTGTCAGTTCATTAAAGTTGATTACCACAATTTCATTTGAAAATATTGTGTGAAAAACGTGCATCATGTGAATTATAAAATTTTTTACTCTTGAATTTAATTTTAACAAGTCATTGAAAATGACACAGTCCCCGTTAAATTATTGAAAGTTCTCTTTGTGTTCGTCATATTAAAGCGGAGGGGTTGTCGCGAACGTGTCCTTGAAACTTGAGTTCCAAGTGGTGTATACAACAGATTCTTTATTTATTGTGTAGTAGTAATATTCGTCATTATTCAGCCGTCTTTGATCTGATTATGAAACACACTGATATGTATGATGTATGTGCCAAATACGAATGAAAATGGTACATAAATTGTGGAAATATAGTTGTAAGGCCAAAAAGTCAGATGGCTATCAATCAGTCATCCTTGACCAGATTTTGAAACAAATTGTCATGGACATGCATCCTAACATGTATAAAAATTTGAATGAAAACTGACAGAGCACGTCCAA